TTTCATAATTCCGCTCAAAACGATCCCAGAACAATGAATTTGCGAGACGAACAGGCCGCCATGAATCAGGTAAAGCAATATGTTACATGCAATTTGATTGGTCCAATCGCTTGTAGTTAACCAATCGCTGGGCCGTTTATAATCGAGCTAAGACTTCCGCAACAAATAATGCCTTCAGTGATCTGATTAGTTGAAGCTTTCATACACGTCCAATCGCAGGGCTGTTTACAAACGGAAAACGGAGAGACTGTTCGGGAGAGCTCGTGAAAACTCGACGATAAGGTACCTGACCGCCCCTAAAATTTTCTCAACGGATTTAGACGATTCACAAAAATGATCAATTTAAGAAATAAAACGGCGGATTTCCGCGGATCCGCGGAAAATTGCCATGTATGATTTTGACATTTTGGGGCAAAACTGGGCATCAAGTTTCATTAAAATCAAAATCCGCCTAGATTAATTTTTCAGATTTTTTTGAGTGATTTGGCATGGAATGACCCAGAGAGCACAAAACCTTGACAACATAGTATTGTAGGTGTGCGGCGATAAGCAGGCGTCCATCAGCAAAAACAGTCCACGCCAGAATATGAACGAGGCTAAACATTGGTTCCGGGTGGCGCATTATTTTTATTCATTTATTTTTATTTTTTTATTTTTTTTTTATTAAAAACACGTTTCGCAACATGTATTTTTGTTTTGACCAATTTTTGTGATGGACACATCCGACTTGGTCAATTTTTTTTTTTTTTTCCAGCCCTGTGATGCTGTGATGCGCCGCATCCTACTGAGAATCAGTCCCAGTCCAAAGGCCCCTGGCAGATCAAACTATGGCCATCATAAAACATTTATTAACTGTAGAGGTGAGGTTTTACAGTAAGTAAGATTTTGGTCATCTTAACTGCTCTACTAATGTTAATCACTGTAACATCAAAACAATAAAACGAATTTATACGCTCCCGCACGTAAAAAGAAGTTAACAAGGACTGCCCTGAAAAATTACAGTACAGTTACAATAAACCACTGTTAGAGACGACAGTTGGCAATTAGCTAGGTGGCACCAAGCACGAGCAGCTGGTGTTAGCAATCTGTTACATGGGTTGGACTTCACAATTGCTTCAGGCCCTGCATCTTCACTGGAGCCACAATAATAAGGGTGATAGGGAGTCTATCCCAGCTTTCTTTGGGTGAGCGGCAGGGGTACACCCACGACTAGTCACCAGCAAGGTTATTTATGACAGTATGTAGTCCCCCCAAGAATCTGCAGAGAAAAGGTACTGATTCTACATAGAACCCTGATTAAAAACCAAAACATTTTGCAGTTCAATATTCTCTTTGTCCCTCTTGGGCAGATTTATTTAAATTACTTATGAAGTGCAAGACATTTCACAAAACTATAGGTTTGAGACAGAACAAGTGATATTAAAGCAAAGATTTTAAAAAGTGGTAACCATCCACTTGAATACAATTCATACAGCAGAAAAATGGATCGATATTGAAATTTGAGATAAATCTGAGACCATCAATCACTATAGAAGTAGTGACATAAACTACTGACTGTATTTTGTGTGTAGCACAAGTCTAGTATACATTAAAAAAAAACAATTGCAAGATGAGAGCACAATTTTTTTTTCTCTCGGTTTATTGATGATTGTGAGTCTGAAGAGTTTTGCGACATTTTTTAAAACAGCTCTTGGTGTTACACTTCTCCTCAAATGAGAAGCAAAGGAAACACGATCTTTTATCGTTGAGCTGCATCGGTGATCCAGCACCTTGTTGTAGCTTGTGCAAAATAGCTTAACTCCATCCTTGTGCAAATCTTTAGGATATGACCTTACTGTCTGAGAAGCAGTGATGTTTGCCAGCTTTTCTGGGATCGGGGTATGCGTTCAGAGAAACCAATTCATTAGCGCTATTCACCATTACAGGCTAGTTCCGTCATAATTTCACTGGAAGCTAGTTTAGAATGCAATGGAGCACAAGATCGGGTGACAAATCATAAAAAATAAAAAACTTACTTGACCTTGGTGGATGTTCAAGTGTTGAAGCACCTCTTTGAGCATCACAGGCACGTGAGGAGGCTTTTCAGTTGAAACACCAGAAAAGGCACAAAGGCCAGCTGTCTGAGAGTGCAAATTTAAATTCCATAATTTCTGCATTATCCGCGCTGTTTTCTGAAACAGTCGGCAGGAGGGAGTGGGCACACGGAAAATCACCATCCTTAATTTGACCTGAGGAGAAGGCAACAGCAATGATGAGTCATGGGTTATGCAATATATAATTTATAGCAAGACATTAACCAATTTTTAGTTTTGGAATGGAAAATATGCTAACTATGAGTACATCACCCAAAAAAAAAAGAAAAAAAAAAGAAACAAGCTCAGGGGTGATATGTTGGACTGCAATCTTCCATATCAGGTGGACAAGCTTAAACCATGTTGCTTTAATATTTCTGGTATGAAATGGATATCCAAAACGGCAGTGTTTCCCAAGCAAGGGTACGCGTACCCCTCAGGGTACATAATCACATCGTAGGGGCTACAAGCATATAATTTTTAATAATAATAATGATTTGCCCGGCTCAATAAACTGTGGCAAAATCACAACAGCCGTGTGTGATTTAGATATAGGCCAAGATGGCGCCCGAGTAAGCAGCCGTCGTCAAGTGCTCTCAAGATCCTTGCTTTTTTTTGTTATTGTTGTGTTTTGTTTTGTCACAATGTGATGAGAAGAAAGGAGCGTCAGCACAGAGCGCCGATGCGTATGTGGAACTGGGAGTCGCGGCTTGGAATTGAAGCGGATTTACATGGGACAGGAGATGTGAGCCAATCTGTTTTTTTTTTTCGTCAATGGATGCTACAGCTTCTTGTTTGCTTCAAAACTTAGCTTGTAGCAGACGTGTGCATATTTTCAGCATGACGTCCCTGATCCACTGGTGAAAAGGACACTTTGATCCTCTCCTCTTTCATCTATAACTGCTTCGAACAATAAAGAGTATGCAGAAAAGTGGTTAAGATTGAATGACTGTTTGTGTCTTATGTGTTGTGGTGTATTATTTTGTTATGTTATTATGACTTCAAGATGGCGTTACGTGAGTGGCTCCGCCTTTACAGCAGCTCCTATACTTTTTGTTCTACAGTACTGCTTTCTTGCTTTCATACTTTTGCTGCTGTAAATTGGGAATTTCTCCATTGTGAGACGAATAAAGGTTTTCTTATTCTTATTCAAGTCAGTGTGTCATTAAAGCTCAGACGACTGATGGAAAGAAAGCATAACTGCTGCAGTATAGTGCGCCTGAGTATTGTTCTTGTTCAGTGTTTTGTTCTACAGGGTTAAAGTTTGTATGCCTGTTTAAAGAGGTAGTTCTGCGATTAGCTGGCAACTAGTATCAGGGTGTACCGTGCCTACTGCCGAAATTAAGCTGGCATAGGTTCCAGCACACCTGCCCGCGACCCTCGTGAGGATAAAGCATTCACATAATGGAAAGATGGATGTTCTAAGAGTTTTATACTGTATCACAAAGACAAGATTGGTGTTTGTAAATTTATATTATTGTACTTCATGGAAACGAAACTAAATGATTCAATTTGATAATCAGGAGTGTTATGTTCGACTTTTGGAGAACCAACAACACGGATGAGTGATGGGGCACTCAAGGTATGACAAAAACGTTTGGGGGTGCACAAGCCAAAAATGCTTGAGAACCAAGGCAGTAGGTCACCACATTTTTAACCAAAGATTGATCCCTGCCAGGGAAACATAAACTATATTGTTAGGGGAATGCCAGACCAGGGAAATGCTGAAAACATGAGCTGGAATGATAGATTCTTCACACAGTAATTTACTATGAACAAGGGCCACTAGACATGAAAATGTTTATTTCCCAGGTTGTAGCAGCACATTACACAACCGCCAATCTGAGCCATTTATCAGTCAGGTTGGCATACGACACAAAACTGCCTACAACAAGCACCTAAGTGAGTCATTTTGTAATAAGTGTTTAACTGATTGAAAATTCCAATTAACCCGATACATGGAGAAGATCTGACAGGGAAGATGAACAGAATATTTGTCAGTGACTCCAGATGAATTCACTGAATTTCAAATGTCAGTGATTGATCTTCTGTCAGACTGCCCTACCAAGCGTAGTTAACAAAACTAAATAAGCTGTTCAGAATCCATTATAGTGGTGTATAAGTAAAGATTGATAATGTTCAGGCAATTGGCTCAAAACCTTGCACAAAAACAGCATACATGCAAAAAAAAAAGAATGCTAGCATTAGGATGTAATAATCGGTTCTGTTTGTGCGTGCTAAAAAATTGCCCCATCAATATAAATGTTGGTGAAGGAGCCGCACTGGAAGCTTCGGCTTCCTGCAACTGTTGGTCAACACGTGTGTTTGAATGAGATCAAAATTTAGCGTGATCCTGCGATCGGCGCTTGATGCTTGCTACGCGATTATATTGGATGATAGCACGCGGTAAACGCGTCTTGAGCAAATTCATCATCAGCAAAGATAAATAGACTTACTTAAATTGAACGAGGATGAACTGTGCTTGTAAAGTTCCTATTGACGTTTCGGGGGCCAATAGTTGTTTCACCGGAAGAAGCAAACGCGTAGCTCCACCCACCAGAAAGCAGCATGGATGACGTCACTCTAGTCGGCCAATGACCAGTCGCTCACACCCAATCTGCATCCACCGAGGAAGAGTGGTTGCTTTTGAAAATATTGGCGCTGGTCTTGTCAATGTTAGCTTTCCTTCAAGCTCAATTTACTTGGTTAAGATATGCCAACGTCGTGGGGCTCTTGTGGAAATAAAGCAGTCGTGATGAAATGAAAGTGTTCCCTTACAAACAAGGTAAGTCTTTGTCCCAGGCAGTTCCTGTAGACACGAAAGGCAACCGTTGCTAATTTGACGGTAGCGTTATCGTCGTTACGTGCAAAGATTGTTAGCTTACCGTCTCCGCGCCGGATACTGCCTTTTTCCAACAATGCCCATATTTACGCTGTTCAAACATTGTATTGTGGGTGATTGTAATTTACGGTAAACAGTAATGCGTTGATACACACTGGTAATCGTTACTGATTATTTGACTTTGAAATCAATGTAGTTCTCAAGTCAAGTCAGCTTTATTGTCAAATATGCTCTATGTGCAACATACAGCACAGATGAAATTATTGACACAAATATAAGCGTGATTAATTTCGCGATCCAGATTAATTATTGAACAGATAAAGATATTGCAGTGATGTTATGTTAGTTCAAACTGTATGTATGGAACGATTCACTGCTCAACGTGTCCGAATTAAAATTACTCTATTATGGGCGCCTATGAACTACATTTTGGGCTGTGTATGCAAAGTGGACCGTTTTGAAAGGTTTTTTTTCCTATTATAAGAAATGGTAAATCTTTAGTAATGTATCACATTGGAGAATTGTATGGGTTAACTGTCTTTCTCAAGAAAGTTTCGAGAAGAAGAAAGCGGACATTAAGCCTTTGATCATATCTGCTAATATTCAACACGTTACAGCCATCTCCAGCCTTGCCACCCTTCATTCAGCAAAATGCTAAACTTGCTAAAGCTTTTCCCACTGCTTCCCTCAGTACGTGTCGAAAAGCTCAGTAGCTTCAAAACACAAAATGCATTTAATCATATCATCATTGTTGTTTCTATGCTTTCCCCCCCTCTTTGCAGAAACGCTTTAGTCACCGGGTGAGGAAACACAATGGAAAGTAATGTCTGCAGCCACGTGAAAGTGGTCGTACGGGTGAGACCAACCAATGAGAATGAGACGAATGAAAATGTTCGCAAGGTGGTCCAGGTTGTTGATAAACACATGTTGGTATTTGATCCAAAAGAAGAGGACATATCCTGTTTTGGTTCCCAAAGAGTTCGGAATAGGAACATCAACAAGAGGGCCAACAAAGACCTTAAATTTGTTTTTGACCATGTCTTTGGAGAGGACTCCACGCAAGACGATGTATTTGAGAACACCACCAAAGGAGTGTTGGATGGTGTCATGAATGGCTTCAACTGTACAGGTAATGAGACACAATCCATAGTGTTAACTTTTTTTTCTAAATGTTGAGTGTCATAGAATTAAAAGTTGTCATCTTTGTTTATTTTGTTATTTTGTTTATTTATTTGTGACTAGTTTGTAATAGGTTAAAAGCAATAGTTTAATGTCCAATATCAATCTCTTGATGTAAAATGATTGCCGACAGCTCTTTTGTTTATAAAGTGCAAATTAGCTCAGAAAAGCCATCGGGCAAGTTATCATGTGATCAAAGATGCTAAATACAGTTAACTTACAATTACCCTTTCACGCTTTGATTGGGGGTACGGTAGGCAACTGGTTAGCACGTCCGCCTCACAATGCAAAGGTGTGGGGTTCGATTCCAGCTCTGGCCTTCCTGTGTGGAATTTGCATGTTCTCCCCGTGCCTGCGTAGGTTTTCTCCAGGTACTCCCGCATTCCAAAAACATTCGTGGCAGGTTAATGGAGCACTCGAAATTTTCCTGAGGTGTGAGTGTGAGCGCGGGTGGTTGCTTGTCTGTCTATGTGTGCCCTGCGAATAGCTGGTAACCAATTCAGGGTGTACCTCGCCTACTGCCCAAAGACAACTGGAATAATAAATTCCAGCATGCCCACGACCCTTGTAAGAATCAGCGGATTAGAAAATGGATGGGTGGACAGTGTGATTGTAGAGGATGCCACTTCTTTCGTAACTTTTCCTTGATGAAAGATGTACTTTTGGAAAAGATGTTTTTGGTCCAGTTTTGATCAAAATCATTGAGAACTTGTAGTTTAAGTTAAGCTTCCTTCCCTCCCCCCCCTTTTTTTTTTTTAAACATGGCACAAAAAACACAGCAAGACATCAGTTTGTGTTTATGCTGCATCCTTAGTGAGGTTATTGATATATTCTTTTTTTTTTCTTGTCATGTTTTAGTTTTTGCCTATGGCGCAACTGGAGCAGGCAAAACACATACCATGTTAGGAACACCAGATGAGCCTGGAGTCATGTACCGCACCATGAAAGACCTTTTTAAACGCATGGACGATGCTAAGGAGGAGAAAGAGTTTTCTGTTGCTGTCTCCTATCTTGAGGTGATTTTTCTTTTGTTCTTTAATGTTTGCCATAAAAACCTGTTCCCGTGGGTTAGGTGGTGGCGTCGAATTGATTTATTTTGGAATGCACTGTAATTAATTGATCATCTATGAATTTGCGTATTGTATACTTCCAAATGAATAAGCAAATGATAAGAGCTAGAAAGCACCTTTATAACACTAGAAATTCTGCAACACTGATAGTTTAGTTTTTTAAATTGTAACTGGGTTGTGTCAGAAAAGGCACCCGGCATAAAGTCTGTGCCAAACGTATTGTGTGAGTAATGTGCTGTGGTGCCCCTGACTGAAAGGGACTAAACCGAAAGTCAAACAACCACCATGTTTTAAGCAACAGAATATATATATATATATATATATATTTTTTTATATTTTTTTTTCCTTAATGGCAAACATTTGGTTTTATTTACCGGTAATACATATCACATATTTGGCTTTGAATACCAAGCAGAAGTCAACAGGTGCTTGGTTGGTTGGTTGGCGCAGCAAATTATGTTGCCTCCAAAGGTATAAGGAAATATTTTACTACAAATGAGACTGGTAGCACAGTCACTTGTAAAATATGCAATTTTTTTGTCGAATATAAAGCCATGTCACTGCTCGCGCACAGGTGTCACACTCAAGGCCCAGGGGCAAGATCCGACCCGTGACATAATTTTAAGTGGCCCTCAAAGGCACATCATGTGTGTCGACAACAATTGTTTCTAGCAAAATGTCTTCAGTTTGAACACTGAGATTGACATGGGATTTGTTACAACCCGCCCCTTTCAATTAAATTTCAAATTAGCTGAGCAAATAATTTACTGGCTTCTGATTTCAAAATTAGCAATCCATCCATTTGTTGTGTATATGTGACACCACAAGGCGCTCATACATTTAGATGGGTTCACAGGCATAACAGCCCTCCAATGGCAACCATAACTACGATGTGCCACGTGACAAAAATGAGTTTGACACCCCTATGCTAGTGCATTTGTCAAGTGCAAATGGCTGACGCTATCTGACATACCGCCTGAATCGTCACATAAGCTGTCAGTGAATTCACCAAAGGGCTTCCTGTAACAGTAAGGAGACAGACAAGATGCTCAGTGGTTCTCAAATGAGCACCGGAGGTTGTTGTTTGGTGCTCATTTTTTTCCTCCAACCAACCTATCGACCTTCTGTGTGTGTGTGTGTGTGTGTGTGTGTGTGTGTGTGTGTGTGTGTGTGTGTGTGTGTGTGTGTGTGTGTGTGTGTGTGTGTGTGCGCGCGTGCGTGCACACGGTCACAAAAAAAAAGACCATTCTTAGTTCATTGACACATTCATAGACACCTCCCTAACTGCTTCATGTTGTAGGTGTCTATGGATAGTCCAAAGATATATTTGAATAGTTCATGTCTATGAATTGTCTCATTTATTTTTGGCACTATCTTGGAAACAGGTAAATTGTCGCGCCGACTTCAGTGAGAAAGGGGCAACTGAGAATCTGACCCACTTTTGGGTTACGGTCCAGTCTTTTCGGAAGTGCTGCCGGAACAGTTTTGCTCAAACCATGCACTTTGTCAAATGATCTTTTGTGATGTTGTGGTCGGTTTTAATCCATAAATAACATTGATGTTTTTTGAACCACAGGTTTACAATGAGCAGATCAGGGATTTGCTGGCTAATGCAGGTCCTCTTGCAGTAAGAGAGGACTGTGATAAAGGAGTTGTGGTTCAGGGCCTGACACTGCACCAGGTTAGTCGGCACATTGTTTGGTGAACAATGTCTCAGCATTCTGTCGAATGGTGCAATTTGAAGCTATATGGGAAAAAAAATACTAATTTATACCTAGAAACTGGAAATACACATGTAGTTTGTGTATATAGTCCTGGGCATACTTCATGAATGATGTCTTCTTTGCATAGCCAAAATCTGCCGAGAACATTCTCCAGGCTTTGGATTCTGGTAATCGAAACAGGACGCAACATCCGACTGATATGAATGCCACTTCTTCCAGGTCCCATGCCGTGTTCCAGGTATTTAAATTGCCCAAAATGGTCGATTTTACAATGAAATATTATCTAAAGGTTTAAAAGTCACGTTCAGAATAATCATATGCTACTTCATTATAAGTGTCACAAATAAACTTCACATAATGATAACCTTATAAAGACTGTTACTTTTTTCCAGATATATTTGCGACAGCAGGACAAGGCTGCTAGCCTAAATCCCAATGTGTGCGTGGCCAAAATGAGCCTAATAGACCTGGCAGGCTCAGAAAGAGCCAGTGCTACCAATGCCAAAGGGCAACGCTTCCGTGAAGGTGCTAACATCAACCGCTCACTCCTCGCCCTGGGAAATGTTATAAATGCTCTCGCCAATCCCAAGGTGAGTTGTTGTCTAATTTGTACAATTTGTTGCCAATTTGAGTCAACAAGAAATCGTGTGTCATATTTCATACATCAAGCCAATTAATGTAACCCCCCCCCCCCACACACACACACACATTAAAACTACAGTAAAATTCACTTTCTCACCTCTTCCGTGATGAACAGGGTCGGATCTAAGGCGTTGTGACAAAAGCTGCCGCTACTTCGTGTTGCCAATATAGCTCATTTGTAGCTATTTATTTAGCAACTTTGGTTGTTGAATTTTGCTCTTGGTGGGTAGGTACTCGAGAGTTCCAACTACGGTTTGTGTACAAACAAAATTTCAAATTTCCCACATACCTCCTTTTTTATAGCTGAGTTTTTCAAAGTCACCTGCTGTTGCTGTTACAATATGAGACTTCAGCCATGCAGAAAAAGTCCAATAAAATCTTATGGTTAGTACTCTCTATTTACTGCCAAGTGAGTGGGTATCGAGCATGTTGCTTATAATTGTATTGATCTCTGTTGTCAAGTGGTTTATTTGTCAACGGCCAAAATAATTGTATGAGGTCTTTTGGAGTAGATAGTTTCTGTAAGCATCCTTTCCTTACATTCTATTTATGGAAGCAATGAAGGGACTGGGTTAAGTCCACATTCTCATCCTTTTTCATTTTCATCATGTTTTCGCCCACCCATGTTGCTTTGTTGTCTGTCTGTCTGCCTGTCAGAAGGATTATACAAAAAGTACTTGACCCTGAAAAAATTGAATTTTGTGGAAAGCTGCTTTGACCCACGTATGAACCCATTACATGTCGGTGTTCATATGGAGCAAAGGGCAGATCACAGCTTTTTAGCAAGGCAAAGTGTTCTTCTCATGTGCAGTGGGCATTTACTATTCGCGGCCAATGAGAACTGAACCAGCTCGATATAGCGAAAATCTGCATATCATTGAAACCCACGTTACGAATTGAGAGAGTTGGAGGGGGTTTCTGAGGTGTGACCCAAAAAATAATAATAATAATAATGTTTTTTCCAAAAGAAGCGGGGGTTGCCCCCCTTAAAAAAATTTACAAAAATAATCGACTTTGTGAATCTTTTTAGCAAGAAAGGGTCTTGTTCAATGTTATCAGTTTAAAGATCTCTTGTGAAGCTTTCGAGATGCCTGTTATTTTTAACGTGTTTCTCGTTTAGTGTCTTTCCTTTACGACTGCCTGTCCTCCATTCAAATACAGTACTGTATATCAAATGCCAACCTGAGAGTGGAACGATTATTATCTTATTTTCACTTGACATATTAATCCAAACATCCTTGATCATAGCAACGTTTGGACTCATGCCAATTATTTCCATTTGCTTTAGAGCAAGAAGGCTCATATACCATACAGGGACAGCAAACTTACCCGGATACTCAAGGACTCTTTGGGAGGCAACTGCAGGACTGTCATGATAGCCAACATCAGCCCCTCATCCAAGTCGTATGACGACACACAAAACACTTTGAAATATGCCAACAGGGCCAAGGAAATCAAATCTTCGGTATGTATTCAACTATTATGTCATAAGATGGCATATACTGTACACTCTGTTTTGGGATACACATATTGCCATTTTTATCCTGTAAATCATTTTATTGTTTGTTTTATTTTCGTATTTGCCCAATCAGCTAAAAAGTAATGTTATCAGCCTGGACAGTCACATTGGCCAGTATGCAGTCATTTGTGAGAGGCAACGGCAACAGGTAAATAAATTCCCGGGCCTTGCTTTTTTTTTTTTTTTCTCCATTCAACAATATTATCATTTCTCATGACTGTAAATCAATGTTCTGTCTCATTCAAGATTGAGCAGCTGAAGCAAAAATTGAAAGAGTATGAGGACAAAAATTTGGTGCACACAATCTCACCCCAGAAACAAGCAGACATCAACAGGTCAGCACTATTTTAACAGTTTTGCATTGTTTTTGTTGTCAAAGTGATGGGCTATATACAATATATTGTTCGGATTTGGTGTCAAGAATTGGAGAGTTTTAGACTGGCCAACTGTAAAGTTTGCTGCCATTCGGTCAGAGGCTTGTTGGCTGTTTTGGAACCATCGGATTTGCAATTAAAATATGACATATTTATGAATTTTAATCTATTTTAAGTGTGTGTTCCAATACGATTGCTACCCTAAAATGTGTTTTTCATCACAATGAATGAATGTCTTATCGTGTTAGTTGTGTGAGCAGGATGTAAATATCTGGAAATCCCATCTTCATCTTATTTTACTGTTCCAATAATTTTGGAGGGGGTTGTGTATTTCTTATCGTATTCACACGTGGGGCTAATTTATCGGCTTTGAAACTACTGATTGTGGAGTGTTTCTTTGTCCTCCATGTGTTGCATCCATTAGAGGATCTGCTGTTGTATTTGCTCGAGATGTTATCTTTAAGGGCTACAGTGGCATCTGTCAGGGTATTTGGGCTGGGGGGGCGGAGTACACACAAAAGCTGAATGACTCTCACTCCCACACATTTCATTCACTGGCATCAGAATTCACAACTCGCACAGTGAGAGGCTCTGAATAGAGCATGCACGCTTCTCGCACCATTAAAAATTCAGCAGTCTAGCAAGGCCACGTCTCCTACGTCACTAGAGTTTCATTGAAGAGTGCAGTCACATTTCAGCGACCGCTCTCCAGTTTTATTTACCGGTACTTGCGTATATCTCACTCCCTTCCGACAAATAGATTTTTAAAACCGTATAGATTTACGATCACTGTCACTGTGTAAGATCACTTTAAGCTTTCCATTACATATGATCATGATTCCGATTCAAATGTTTAAGACTTTGTCTTCCTTTTTGCCCGTAAAATTTGCAAAGGCGGCTCTTTGAAGGTTGAAGTCAGTCATCACTCTTCGCTCTCTTTAGGGTGTCTAAATCTCTGCAGCAAGTCTTCTCCAACCGTGCCCAAATCAGGAGAGAGCAGCTGGATCTGGAGAGACAACTGAAGGAGAATGAGCTGCGCCAGCACTACAGTGAGCAGGACAACCTGCAGGTCCAATGCATCTTTGCCAAAGAAAAGACTGACAAGGTAGCGGATGCTTACACTGCTTTCCAGATTCCATCATCCCTGCAGGAAAGCAATTGCTGAATCATCATTTTACTTTGCTGCCTTCCATAGTAGTCTGGGCCTGTAATTTACACCACAGCAGGACTGAGTGAGTCCTGATCCAGAGTTGCTTGCTTTCCTCACAAATTGAGTCTTAATCTTAGTCCCACCTCGACATGCTGTGTTGCAGAATGCAGCTAATTCTGCAAAGTTAAATTTGATTTTGATTTGATTTGACTTTGTATTTGGTCTCCCATAGGAGAAACCTGTCTTGGAGGACAGCCCCCCCCCCCCCCATGCCGCTACATACATTGAACAATACATACAGTATACAATACACAACAGACATTGGACAATAATACAATACAGGACAATATATACTCTACATACATTGGACAATACGTTATTCAATTCAAATACAATTCAATCTGTAGTTCATCTTTTTCATTCTAAAAATGTCTCTAAAATTACAGGAATTGATGTTGCTATCTTATACCATCACTAGCAATCGGTGTGCCACATGCACTAATGCTATTTTTTTTTTTTTTAAAGAACAACAAAAAACGATTGGATGAAAGCTAGATGTTATGATCTTCTGTTGTTCTTATTCCTCTCTCTGACATTGTTCTTTTCCAACAGGCTACTTGTAAACATGAGCGGAGGATTGCGATGCTAAGCTCCGAGCACGAGCGCATTCGTAAACGGATGAAAGAAGCGGAAATGCACTTTCAGGAAAATAATGGCTGGCTTCACCGTGTCGAGAACGAGGTGAAATTGTTGAAGTCGAATAGTCAGGCATTTGAGGTTAGTATCACCTTCGTCATCAGGGTAACCCTGGTTATCTTCTTTGTCGTTTCATTATGTTCATAATAATATAATTTGACAGGTTTTCGTGCAAATTCAAGTGATCGATTTTGCCAGGCTTATCAAAGGAGGAATGATGCCCTAATGCCACATTACTAAGTCTGTAATGCAATAAGGTGCAATGGATTTTTTTATTTTTTTAACCGGAGCAGACAAATGAGCATGATATAAAAAGGGAAACTAATCAATATAGGATGCATCCTTAAAACTCAATGCTTGGTGTTTTTTGTTTGTTTACTTTAGAACAGCGGTCCCCAAACTTTTTCCTGTGAGGGCCGCATAAGCTTTCGCTTCTGTGATGGGGGGGCCGGGGTCAGTCTAGAACAGAAAAAGGGTGACCGCAAGAGTACGGAAATGTAAAAATGGATTGTTTTCCAGAAACCCACACAAAATGAAGCCGCCTCTTGACAGATGAGACTGACAGACGTTTCTTTGCGCTGAAAGAAACAAAAACAAAAACATCGTTTGTCCACTTTGGGTTAAATACCCTGCATTCTATTTTTCTCTTACTGAACCTTTTCGCCATGATCCCGTTCTCTGAGAGAGGGGCCGGTTTCGGATTTTTTTTTTCTGGCGTTGCAAGATAACGGCACAGAAAGATGCACCAAATGTCACCTTATTGTATCTGTGTTTATGAAATAGTTACTAATTAATAGTTAATAATGAAAACGGTTCAGAACTAAGGAACATTTTATTGCAAAAGCCCAACTTTATGATCAAAGACAAATCCACATCGATGAAAAATAAATCAAAATACTCTGTGGTATTTTCAGGGGGCCGGACCAAATGCGGAGGCGGGCCGGATCCGGCCCGCGGGCCGTAGTTTGGGGACCACTGCTTTAGAAGCTAGGCCGTGTCTCTACTAGTGTCGTGACTGTCTTTGTTTTCTTCCCATCTGTTCTCCCAGTAATTAGAACCGTGCTCATTTTATTTCTCCAGCTCACTCGTGGACCACTGAAGAGAATAAATCAATACACTTTACTCGGCCCTCACACAGCAGCCAGTTACCTAAAACCATGTTCATGTTTTTTTTTCTTCATTATCCTTTCTTCCAAGAACTGACCCAGAACTATGACGCGCTCAGCAGTCAAATGTTCTCGCTGATGTTGTTTCGTAGTTTTCTTGCGTCAGAGTCCCCAAACCCCCCACTGCCTCCTATCCACTGCTTCCAGACTTTCAAATAAAACACGGAGAAAAGCATTGACAAGAGCATCTCAGACCAGCTTTGGACAATTTAACATGTCTTGAGTTTGAGTTGAGTTGTTATATTTTCTGTAGTTAATTTATATTAACCTGGTCTCACTCTCTTCTTAAGGTATTAGACAAGGACTTGCATTGTCACAGACTGGAGCTCAAGGTGAATGATCTGGAACAACACATCAAGCAGATGGTCAAAATCACTGCACTTCAGGATCAAGAGAATAAACGCATGCAAAAGTATGTCGGTTCTACTTGGAAGTACTACACGGCTGTGCATTTGCTTTGTAATGCAAATCTAATTGCAACATTCTGTATTGAATTCTAGAATGGTGAATGTGTTGTTGTCATCTTATGGTCGATACCACACTGCCATGTGTGACACTGAGCTTGTTGGAGCCCAAGATGAGTTGAAAAACCATGAGCTGAAGCAACTTGTGCTAAGAGAGAGAAGTGTGGCTTGGGCAGACCAGGTAGAAGTCAAACAAGACGTCCAAGGTTCATCTACTGGAACGACAAAACGAGAAACCAAGGATTTCAGTGGCGAATTGGCAACCGTCCTGTCTTTCTCAAGACTGCTTTACTTCCAGAGTAGCCCTTGCAGTAAGTCTTCATGCTCTTTATTTTATTTCATTTTTGTCATCGCTCATGTTTTTACTTCTGTACAAAGTCCACATCCCGAGTGTCTACTATGGGTAATTCGCCAACACGCGATTTAAATGTGAGAGGTTAAGTGTGGCTTATATTCAAAGGGCTTAAAAGTTGACATTCTGCATTGCTAAAGTCATGCTATGCCCCCATGTAGATAATTACGCCACAGTCAGACATGAAGCTATGAATGAAGCAACCTAGAAATGCATTTCGAAGGCCACCAACGATGATGGAATGGCTTTCCCCTGCCGTTATTGGAATGCTTTGCAAAAAGATGGTTCAAATTCATGAGAGTAGTGTAGTGGATGTCGTCCTTGCTTCCGATTTGAAAGATTTATTTATATGTGAGATGAAAGCGTAAGGTGTTGGCTCGAAAAAAAAACAAAAGGCTAGACCGTGTTGGTGCAACCACCCATCTGTGTTTGGCAATCCTCTCAAGAGATCAAAAGCATCAGTCTTTCGGACTCTTTAATTGAACAAAAAAAAAAACGCATTTTGAAATGTGGTGGGAAGCGAGAATGACTATTAGTATTTCTTTTTAAACACAGGTGCAGATGGGCGGGCAAAATCGTCAATCAAAAATGCACCATTTTCAAAAGGTAAGTTTTCTTGCTTTTTATATCTAATTTGGGCTCTGTCGTCCCATATTCCTCTATTGATCAAAAATGACTTTTTTACCTTCAACTGGGGAATACACAGGTGTTTGTCAAGTGGTCTGGGATGGCATTATTTAGTTTATGGTAGTTCCTATCTGTTCCGCAGAGGTTGGAAATGTTTCAGAATTGACGAGATGACACGTGCGGTAGATTGCAAGTGAGTCTCGAAGTTTGTAATTGGCTTGCATAAGATTTCGCCTCCACCAACCAATCGAGGTAACATGTACAAAACTAGCTACAAAATTAGCTTTGGCTAACTATAGCCGTTCCTCTGAGTTTCTAATCAGAACAATACTTCTGACTAGTGTTGTTAACAGAGGCTTTACATTTTTAAAAGGACTTATTTAAACCTAAGCCATGCTAAACCATCTCTAAGCTTTCGTTCAATGTATTCACGAAACACCGGAATAAGGTCTGAGGTAGTAAAAATGACTTGATATCATCGTGGTCTCGTCTCTGTACCAAATTAGCCATTATGCTGAACATTTGGGTTTTTTTTTTGGGGTACTTTGCTTAGCATAGTGCTTGCGCCACTTACTTGTTGCAGTTATACACACACTGTATTGGCTGCATAACTCGTGTGACCACATCACAAGAAATACACTGATTATTAGCCGTCTGGCCCACGTTACTGCATTTGAATGCAGACATAATGTGGACAAAATGCCTGGTTTGCCAGCTGTCACTGGGTTACATAAAATAAATAAATAGTAAAGTTACATAATAAAAACTAAATAAAGAAAAACATTTAAAAATAAAACTAATTTGAATTGGAGGGCACATTGAACACTTGGAATGCACCTCGTACCTCCCTCCTGTGGCTATGCCTGTCTTGCGTCACCTCACAATCGATAAGGCGAGAGTCACCCCGCCCCCTTTCGCCGCTCCCACCAGATCAGATGCCATGACTGGGCAAATTGAATTAGTTTATTTATTCTTACTCTGCTGTTTTCATACCTATGTTTACTCAAAGACTGTTCCTGTGTTTCTGACTTGACTTAAAATTTTGGACTACAACAAAGGAATCACTGTTGGTAGGCCGTATCGCACTTTTCATGTTAAACATTTATAAATATGACATACAGTGGTGCCTCGCTATTTCGCGGTTCGTTTATCGCGGCTTCAGTGCATCGCGGATTCTTTCAAACATAAAAAAACTTTTTTTTTTTTTTTAAATTTTGTTTTGTTTTTGTTTTTTTTATGGAGTACAGTATTGTATATGTTGCTCTATGTGACTCGCTGTTGTTTTGCAGCTTCTCGCGGACCGTTTATGGACTTTTTGCGGACTTGAATTTTTTTTTTTTTACCTGTATATGTTAATTGGTCGCTACTTCGCGGATTTTCGTTTATCGCGGGTAGTTTTGGTACCCATTAACCGCGATAAATGAGGGATTACTGTACTATCAAATTAGCGAACAGGCTATTTCTCAGTGAGCAGTTTTGTTATTGTGTCCATTGCATGCCTAGCGCTGCAGCCGTTTTGGAGGTATACAAACGTAAACATTGGATTGACAGGGACAGAAGCGCATTGGGTCCGTATATGATTTGAGGATGTCTTTTGCACAAAAACCTGTCGGAAAAACTCACAGAAACAAGTAAAAGCCTCTCAAGAAGGACTCGACCAGCAAGAACAACGGGTCTAATTCTCCCGCGTGCGCGTATCCACTCCATCAATACTGTGAGGCTTTCTGGAATACCGTGCGCTTCCCACGATATCGCAATCATATCACCATGAGATTAATACCTTGATGAAACTGAATCAGGAGATGTAGATCATCGTTCCATCCCACCTGCGTTTTTACTTTAATCTGATAAAATATCTAATTTGAAAAGGTTACAGTTAAAACTTGGACAGCCTTTTCCATTGTAGTTCATCAGGCTGCAAACTATTAATTTTAGCGTCTATACTCCCTATTAGTATATTTGCAGACAATCTCATCTTTATACATTAGGTTTTTCCAAATCGATAAAACAAGTTCTTTGACACCACACATTTAAGACGTCCATGATATATTCATGGAATTCATTTCTTTTTTTTCACGTCCTTGTGTTCAAAGCAGCATTACTTTTCGGAGCATGAATGTACAGTAAGCATGCATGTACTTTTGAAAGGACATCAAAAAAGCATACCAGTACATTTCCATGTAATATATACAGTCTTTATATAACTGTTAATCACTGCAGTTTCCATTATTGGGAACACACAGCCATTTTTTCATTGCACTAATGAAATCCTAACTCTTTGCATCCCTCTCAATTATTCATTCACTGACTCAGTCTTGAATCTCTCCAACCTGTCCTGTAAATCCTAATTCCACTGTCACAGTCTTCTAGTTTTCACATTATAGGTAGAAGAATGCAAGTAATTCACAGTGTCATCAGCTACACTAAACATCCCTTCTTAAGTGGTGGCTTCAGTCTACTGAAGACTATTCGACATTCGACAAACTGCTCTGATGTCACCCCGATGCTGCTTTGTCAGTGTCCGACTCTTTCAGTCCTTATGATAGGCACTGCAGCGTAATGTGTGCAAGAGCTCCTCCCTGCAATTTGCTAAACCAATCAAATGTGGTTAGATATAGAGAGGGAAGGATGGATGGATGGGTTTCAAGGGGGAATTGACGCTTTGCCTGGCTGGCTATTAATAGACTTTGACGGTGCTTCACAGAGGATTAAAAACGTGTCTCCATTTGATGTCCTTCTCGGGTTATGTGCAGATTCTCTGCGGTCTTTATTTGTCCCCTCATTTGTGTCTGGAAGGTTTCCTTTTGTTTTCCTGTTATGTTTTTCCACCGTCCCTCCATGTTTACTTTGCTTCACGTCCCATTCTCTGATTCTGCCTTTCTCTTCCACCTGCAAATGTTTTTTTTGCCCCCCCCCCACACACACACACACACACACTCTGTGTCTTGCATTGAACACTCCCAATCCCTCTTGAGCTTCATTCATGAAAATGCAGATCCACAGCAGGGCAGGAAAAAACGTCAGCAGACGTAAATTCCCCAGCTCCACCAACCAGAAAAGGCGCACTATAAAAAACATGCAGCGGCAACCAGGCGCCCCTAATGCGGTGCTGCCTCCACCAGAAATAGCAACTCATGCATGTATTAATCCCCTCCAAGCCAAAAATATGTGATTGAAGGAATTCTGCTGCCTTTTATCGGAAGGAATCATTTCACTGTCACACAAATGTGCTATTTATTGCTTATGTCCTCACCTCACTCAGAAAACTTTCTGACGCTCACATTTGATTACTATAACATTAGAAAAGAGAAAGTGACATTTAGCCCATATGTATTTTGCTTTTTCACTGCCTCTTTCGTGTCCAGCCTCAACATACCTCCGCAGGAAAATGAGTGTATTGGTCTTCATTGTATGAGGCAGACGCACTGTGCTTTGACCCCCTTTTCATTTGCAATTCGACAAAAATGATACCGTCTTGATTTTATAGAGGTGCTGCTAAGTGGACAGTATCATTAATTGAGTGAGTGTATATTTTGCAGTAAATAATGAAAACAAAACAATTAATTCCAAAACTTTTTTCAAAACCTACTCGGAACAATGCAACACGGCAACAAGTCAACATTTTTAAATAAACGTCTTTGCAGTTTAAGAATGTGAACTAATTCTGATGAGGAAAACGGTAGTATTAGTAGCTTGGATTAATATCATGCCTTCTAAGGGAAGGATGCTTAACAATAATTTATGGGGTAATTCAAATGTTGTCTCTGATTCTCCCTTTCTCTTCCCCCTGCAAATGTTTTTTTTGCCCCCCCCCCCACACACACACACACACACACTCTGTGTCTTGCATTGAACACTCCCAATCCCTCTTGAGCTTCATTCATGAAAATGCAGATCCACAGCAGGGCAGGAAAAAACGTCAGCAGACGTAAATTCCCCAGCTCCACCAACCAGAAAAGGCGCACTATAAAAAACATGCAGCGGCAACCAGGCGACCCTAATTCAGTGCTGCCTCCACCAGAAATAGCAACTCATGCATGTATTAATCCCCTCCAAGCCAAAAATATGTGATTGAAGGAATTCTGCTGCCTTTTATCGGAAGGAATCATTTCACTGTCACACAAATGTGCTATTTATTGCTTATGTCCTCACCTCACTCAGAAAACTTTCTGACGCTCACATTTGATTACTATAACATTAGAAAAGAGAAAGTGACATTTAGCCCATATGTATTTTGCTTTTTCACTGCCTCTTTCGTGTCCAGCCTCAACATACCTCCGCAGGAAAATGAGTGTATTGGTCTTCATTGTATGAGGCAGACGCACTGTGCTTTGACCCCCTTTTCATTTGCAATTCGACAAAAATGATACCGTCTTGATTTTATAGAGGTGCTGCTAAGTGGACAGTATCATTAATTGAGTGAGTGTATATTTTGCAGTAAATAATGAAAACAAAACAATTAATTCCAAAACTTTTTTCAAAACCTACTCGGAACAATGCAACACGGCAACAAGTCAACATTTTTAAATAAACGTCTTTGCAGTTTAAGAATGTGAACTAATTCTGATGAGGAAAACGGTAGTATTAGTAGCTTGGATTAATATCATGCCTTCTAAGGGAAGGATGCTTAACAATAATTTATGGGGTAATTCAAATGTTGAGCATGTTTGGCATGCCCTGTTAGCGGAAGAGTAGCTCGTGTTGGCGGCCAAGTGATAGCCGCCCGGGTTGACAGCAAACAGTAGCATGAAACATTCCAGTGGAGGTCCCGACAGACACAATCTGTTCTGGGACTTCTCATTGAGTACTTTCTTCCCCTGTGAAACTGCAATAATCGAGCTCTGATCAACTTCATAGTAAGCTAACCTCTAATAGATAAAAAGTTAAACTACGCACCAGGCTTATCAATTCTTCAATGGAAATCATGGATCGTAACCACGCCGTAAAATCAAGGACACCCCCCCCCTGCCCCCCCGACCTCCTCCACACACACACTTACGCTCTCTCTCGTTCTCACTCGATAGCAAGTGTTTTTGTTACAATACTTTTATTTTTTCTTTTCTGAGCGGTGTCATAGACGTTAGCCATGGCTGCTTTGACCATAGCATGACTTTTCTGCAATGGAGTGGTACTGTTGTTATCAGCTTGAAGTTTTATTTTTTCCAGAATGTACAATCGATTAGAACACAGGTGTCAAAGTCAAGGCCCGGGGGCCAGAATGGCCCGCCACACCCTTTTATGTGGCCCGCGAAAGCAAATGAAGCATGTCAAGTTCCATGATGCTTGCTAAAAGTCTGAACCAAAATTTCAAATTGTCATATGTAATCCGCAATAATAGTCATTATTCTTGACTTCTGGTTGTAAAAATAGTTATTGATCAATTTGTTGTGTGCTGTGTATGTAAAATGTGGAGGGGATTAAACATTTATATGGTTTCCCAAAATTCATAACGGCCCTCCAAGGGAAACCGTAACTACAATGTGGCCCGCGACAAAAACGAGTTTGACACCGCTGGATTAGAAGAATAAATCATGTGATAAGCTCACCTGCTGTGCAGAAACACACACACTGTCTGCCCAGTTTTTGGCAAAGGAGCGATGCAAAAAAAATGTTTGCATATTTAACAAAAATTGATATTCCGCCATATATTCAGCAGAGTTCCTGAAGTCCAGGCTAACAGGTCAGCGTGAAGCTGCGGCGTTGTGCCTGCTAGGAGTTTGCAAATGATTGACTTCTCCTTAGTCACGGCTTCTCTCTCTGATACGTTGCATATCTTTGGACATTACGGTTTCTTTAAACTCTAACAAAATGGGGCCAGAGACGGCTCGTTATTTTTATTTTTAATTTTTTTTTTCACAGATCATATTTACACATTAGGCCTGAAAAATGTCACCTTCATTTTCACACACGATTGTAAGCTGTCGTTATTGAGGCGTGAGGGATGTCAATTTTTTTAACCCTCATCTAACCAGAAGCATTAAAAACTGTTCCTGGGTTTTTCCGTGGTTTGCCTATCAGGGTGTCAAAAGCTCAATGAATCTTGACGGCAGGCACATCCGCACATATTTTGAGCCACCAACCAAAAAGAAATTAACAGTGAGAAAAACGTATTATTACACAAGCACTTCAACCTTTAAATTTAGAATTACATTTGAAAAACAAAATTAAAGTGAAGTACTTATTTATTTTCCAAAGTTTCCAAAGGGAAAAAAAAAACAGTCAAATTATTTTGTTGAGTTTGCTTAAGCCTTTTATTGCTACCAAACTATACTACTGGATGCAAAATGTTTAATCTTCAATATAAGGCCATTCTAAAACAAGTATGGCTGGAATTAAACAAAGGAGTTAAATAAATGCTGCTGTCTTTTGGATACTTCTGTGTTCTTTTTGTAGAACGTGAAAATTTCCATCTGCAGTTCGTACAAACCCAATTCCAATGAAGTTGGGACGTTGTGTTATAAATAAAGACAATTCAATGATTTGCGTTCATTCCTTCCTTCTCAATGTTTTGGTTTGCTTGGGGTTTTAGGTAGCAGAAGTCCTCCAAACCTGCAGCAAGACGTACTTCCCCGAAGGCCCGTTCGAAGAAATCTCTCGGTGTTGCTGCCACAACAAAGCCCCAAGACTTTTTCCCACGACTTTGAGGAGGGCACCTTTCCTCTCCAGTGCACACCGGAGCCTGCTCCAAAAGGTGTTCAGTTTAGTTTGTCCACCGGCATGGATCCCAATATAACCTTTGAAGTTGAACACGAAGATGCAACGATCATAAGCAATGGCGGCCCCTCTCAGGCAATGAAGTCAGGGGGTTGTTCAGGTCAAACCCAACTCATCAATCCTGTCAATGAAACCAAGCAGATTCCTACCCAACGGTGAGAAAGTTTCATTCTTTTCCTCAATCATTTCTACTTAAATGCGGTAAATGGCATACCAACTGAAAATGAATGCAGCCGTTCAGAACAGAGAGAATGACCACGTTCAAATCCAAAATGGAGCACTTCCTCAAAATGCACACACAATGGAAAAGTTAGTTGAACAAAATGAGTTAATGTTGCATTTACCTAACAATACAATTAGAGGGTACGAGTTGACAAGAACATATGAGTAATATCTTCGTGTACAGACAGCCCATTTCTAGATTGGCACTGGGTTAGGCAAACTAAAAAAAGATGCATAGATGGAAAAGTAAGACACACCTTCATAATTCACTAATATTTAACAAATCAATATTTCTGATGACGAAATTAACTGCTCAGTAAGCATATTTGGTTGCCGCCCAAGACTGCTCATATTTTTCATCAGTCTGTACTGGGGATTTTTCTTGCAAGGGAGCAGTTTTTTTGTGGAAAGGTTTGGTGTGATGATTAAAAAAAAAGAAATATTTGGGGCGGATCTATTTTTAACTTGGCCCTGCAATAACAAGTGTTTTGTAACACTGGTAGAGATTACGAGTTACTCTGTAGGATTATGCATGGAATGTTTTATCCCAAGTGGCACTTCCTGCAGAGGCTACAAAAAGGATGTCTTGGAACTGTCTAAATGACTCTCTTGACTGCTCTTGAATCGTGCGGCACACCTCGCTGTGTTAAGGGAGGGGGTGCAAAATATTTAACCCCACCCCCACGCCAGGGTGGGCTATGATGATCTCCTGCTTAAATGATGAATGCATTGAGTTTGATGAGAAAGGTAATGTAACGCTAATGGAAGCTAACTGTGCGCAGACATCAGATCTCCTCCTTACAAGAAGTGAGACAAGCCAATCCAACGTACATGGGTATGACGTCTGCTGCGCGAGGAAAGCGTAAGATCAACAGGTAATTGTTGTTTAGTTGCTTTCGCAGCCAGCTTGGAAACAACCCAAGACGAACAAACTGAGGGGAAAAGATGAATTCATGAATGCATCAATAAAGTGCAGTCCTTGAATTGTTTTTACCCCACATTCAATTCTCTTTCAAACTGATACGTTTTAAAACATAAAAATTCTGACATTTTGTGTTCTTGGATCAAATGAATGTCACCTGCACTATCATGCAGTGTAAAGCTGTCAAGTTCCATCAAATAAGAGTTGGTTAGTTAATTATGTCATACGTGTAGGTGTTAGTAATGAAGCATCAACTGGGAAAAGCAGCACCGCGCTCAGGATCAGAATATTAGCAAATAACACATTGCAGAATAAATGTCACTGTTTATACCTTCTACTAGAGTCATTAGTTTGTCTTTATGAATTGTCCTAATCAGGTTCCTTTTGGAGCTTTATGGTAAACTGCTGTCTGTTTGTTACACGATTCCCCCCCCTTTCATTCTCTTAGGGAGAAAGATGAAAACTTGTCCGCACCAAAGCGTACTAAGAAAGCCCTCTGCGTTCCCACCAGACCACTGAGGGTACCGACATTTTCCAGTAAGTATCCATTTAGAATGGCGCACATGCAATTCACTGTTTGTTGATTGTTTTGGTCCACATTGAGTGACCAAAGTGCAGCCACAGTGACGACTTATTCTGAAATACTATGTTATGCGTCCTCTTCAGGTTCAGGAAAGGACAAACCTCAGAGAGTCGTTAGGAGCATTTCTGAAGGAAATCTGAACCTGCTTAAACCTTCCAAACCGAAGTCACAACTGTTCGATCGAGTGACTAAATGGATGTAAAAAACCCTTCAGTGTATGTCTTGATTTCCATGTTAAACATTTTAAGTAGTATTTTAGGCTCTGTGAGTCCTCTTTATTTTATTTTGTTTTATTTTTTACTTGAATTTAAATAAATGTTAAGCACACACACACACACACCCAGTCAAGATAATCTCATTGTTAATCCGTGTTTATTGCATGGGAGGTGAACAGTGGTACAAGGTAATCAATTTTCTCCTGACTTACATGGCACTGATAAAACCCAAATCTTCATCACAAGAGTTTTTACGTGTTGGGGTGAATTGCGTCGAAGTTAATTAATAAAGCCTTCACAGACTAACAACCTGCCAAACACTCCTGCTGTCCTCTTACGAAATGATATTGGGTTTCAAGCTTTTAAACCCACTTGAGATAACATCGTCAGAAGTCTTTTAGGGACCTTGATATTGTTCCTTCCGAAATGTTGATGACTAAATTGCTCCATTTCTGTCCAAACCTAATGCTTGCTCACCTATTTAATAAAGATGTCTTGAGAATGCACCAGAAAGTAATACAGTACATCTTTGACCCATTTTCATCATTTAAGTAACATGACACACAACATCATTCAAGGAATGTGACAGTGGATTCTTTAGGTTTCATTGTATCTGTAAATAGTTGTAGATATTCCTTTAACGCAATTGCCAGCACGAAACTGTGACTGTTAAAATTGCTTTATATTGTTTGCCAAATGACGGTAGTCTTATTCTTTAAAAAATGAATTGTCGCCACTTAAGTAAAGTGTGTGTGTGTGTGTGTGTGTGTGTGTGTGTGTGTGTGTGTGTGTGTGTGTGTGTGTGTGTGCGTGCCGAAATTCTCATTCTTTAGTCTTGATCAGAGTGTCTCTGGTCATTTTAACGCATATATGTTTGCGGTCAAGAGGAAAATGCACTGTGTCTGAGATATGTGAATATTGGTATCGGTTGTTTACCATTTCAGTAAAAATAGCGCATCAAGGTTGATTGCAATTTGTTGTCACCGGTTACTGTTTATTAATCATTATTGTTTAATAATTAATCAAATCCAAATAAGGAACATTTCAGTAAATGTTTGTAACTATATTGCAGGTTATCCATGCTACTGCTTCACCCCCCCCCCACCCCTTCCCATAAATTGATTATAATTCAGTTACTTATTTAGTCCGTAACATGTCAGAGAAACCTGTTGATCATTGATTTCCAATGTAAAAGCTGATGTTTGCAACTGGCCTGTTTGGATTCAACACAAAACATAAGCAGTCTGTTTTCATGACTGACGACAGAAATCAGAGAATATTTCCTGTACGGGGCAAAAATCTGAGGATTTGGACAATTTTAAGTTAATGGCTCGAAACAATTAATCAGTTATTAATCGGTGCAGGTGTTTGGACGGACTAATTCTGCGTCACTTGGTGAAGAGGATTATCTCCCACTTGTTCTCCAACCACATAGATGGTGTGTTCCCTGTAAAGTCTCACTTTGCCTGGTCCACCTCTTTCACAGAGTTTGCACACAACCATTGCTGTCAGTCTGCATCTTGATTGTAATCTTCATTTCCCTTTGAGCCACCCTCAGCAGGGTCCTCAAATGGCTACGGGAGTTTGCCCAACTGGTCTACATGTTTTGTGGACTTGGAGAAGGCGTGCGACCGTGTCCCTAGGGTAGATCTGTGGGCGGTGCTTTGGGAGTGCCCTCACCAGGCACTGGATGGGATTGTGCCCCAAGAGGAGGGGTTTAAGTATCTTGGAGTCTTGTCCACGAGTGAGGGTAGGATGGAGCGGGAAGTCCACAGTCGAATCGGTGCAGCATCTGCTTTGATGCGGACTCTATATCGGCCTGTCGTGGTGAAGAAGGAGCTGAGCCGAAATTTTCCATTTACCAGTCTATCTTCATTCCTGCTTTCACCTTTTGGTCACGAGCTGTGGGTTGCGACCAAAAGAACAGCATCCTGGTTCTCCCTTAGAGACAGGTCGAGAGGCTCGGTCATCCAGGAGAGACTCAGAGTCGAGCCGCTACTCCTCCACATTGAGAAGAGTTGGATGAGGTGGCTCGGGCATCTGATTAGGATGCCTTCTGGACGCCTCCCTGGTAAGGTGTTCCGAGCACATCCCAATGACAGGAGGAACCAGGACACATTGAAAAGTCTATATCTCCCGGCTGGCCTGGGAACGCCTTGGGATCCACCCAGAAGAGTTGTAAGATGTGGCTGGGGAGAAGGCGCTCTGGGCTTCCCTGCTAAAGCTCCTGCCACCATGACTCGACCCCAGATTAGTGGTAGATAATGAACGAACGGATGGAGCTTTTCAGTGCAGAAACAGCTTTACGCTCCACGTTTATGCTTGCTGCAAACAATAGATTGCAACAAGCATGTTCAGGTGCATCAGTCTCAAGGTTCTCGTCAATGTGCTGAATGGTGCCCACTCTTTGGCAGTATATGTTTTCGCATGATTAGTGATAAGTATCTAAACATAATGCGACCAGGTGTTCGGGGTTTTACAGTAAATGTTTTATGGGTTTTCAATGTCAGCACACTCTCCACATAGGCGGTTTTACAGGGTGGCAGCTGCCACCCTTACCAAATGCCTTCACCCCCAGTTGCCACCCCTGGCTTTTGGAAAAGAATCTATCAATACGAAATTCAAAATGTGATTTAAAATGTTCCTTATTTTGTCTCCAAAGTGTGTCTTAAAAGTGTTTTGAATTTACTCCCAGTCCGGTGCCCCCCCCCCTTCCTTTCGAGAAGAAATGGTTCTATCCTACCAGTGCCACCAATTAAGGAAAAAGTCAAGTGCGTTTTAACTTGACCATTCCTGGCCGACCAATACCTGAGAAGAATGAAATATGTTGACATATTTACTTTTCGTATTCATAGATAATGTAATAGAATTCATAGTGCAAGTGCGCATAGTGTGCAGTAGTTTTTGGTTCCATTTTAAAATGTGCAACAAGCTGCCAAGTTTAATCAAAATTGAATGTACAGTAATCCCTCGTTTATCGCGGGGATTACGTTCCAAAAAGAACCAGTGATAAGTGAAATCCACGAAGTAGTGAACTTTATTTTTTTACATTTATTATACAATACTTAACTACATATACAATTAAATCAAAGACCAAAACCTGTTTTCAGGCCCAATTATAAAAAAAAAAAAAACGTTTTCAACAAATAACTATCATAATTTTTGGAAATACTGTACTGTCGACACGCGGCGGCGCCGATGCGTTCTGATTTAAAGGGTTAAAAGCATTAAAAAACTGCACTAAAAAATCCGTGAAACAGCAAAGCCGCGGAAAATGAACCGCGTTAGAGCGAGGGATCACTGTACAGTCATCTTGATTGTCCATCCGTCCATCCATTATCGGATTATCTTATCCTCATCCTAATTGTCCTTATTATTCATTTGTATAACCCTTAAAGTGTTTTGACTGTAATATAATTATGGTTATGTTGGCGCAGCTGCGTGCTCCAATGATATGCTGCAATTTACATGATCCCATTAGTCGACTAATTGCAACTACTGTCGATAACTTAGTCGACTAGCAAAATAATCATTTGTGGCAGTCCTAGTTGAAAATTGTTACTGCATAGCCCACACTGACTGGATTAGTGCTCAATGTTAAGATGTTATTCATGTGACATGCATGAAATTTGCCACGGAACACAAAAATTCAAACTTGCATTACAGTGTGTGTGTGTGTGCGCGTGCGCATATATGTGTGTGTGTGTATATGCGTGGACGTGCATTTGTGTGAGTGTGGTGGGTAATAACCTTGTCCCTCCTAACTGAACCTCCTGCCAGCCTCTCACCACCCCATCCATGTAAAACTGCAGCGGCAGGTGCAAACCACCGCACAAAGCAACACCGAAATGAAGCATGGCCAAAAACAGAGAAGTAAACACTAACACATTTATTATTTATCTTTGGGCTTTGTATTACTGTTTACATTGGGTGCTTGTGCAGTTCATTGCCAAGAATTTTGCTTCACACTTTGTACTTTGTAGCACTTCATTTCTTGTTTGTATTGATACTTTACTACTTGTCTTCATATTTTTACTCCAACCATTTCTGCTCATTTGTTTTAAATGCATGATGTTCTTTTGCTATTCGTCAGTGTATTTTTTGAAAAATAAATGTTGAAAAAGATCATATTATTAAATAAGTTAACATGTATTACCATAGACCAGGGTTCGGCATCGCAAAATGTTGAAAGAGCCATATTGGACCAAAAAAAACAAAAAACAAACATGTCTGGAGCCGCAAAAAAATGAAGCCTTATACAAGCCTTACAATGAAGGCAACACATGCTGTATGTATCGATATTAGCTATATTAGCCTACTATGAAAATGACTACGTTGGCTACACATACACGAAAAGCCTTCATGATTAAATGGTTTTTCCCCTGCAGCGCATCCTGTAGAGCAGGGGTGCCCAACCTTTTCTGATGGAATATCTACTTTCAATCAACCAACCTCCCGCGATCTACCCGTTACCGCACACACGCATGCCACAATGAGCGACAGCCATAATGGCCACGAAGATAATCAAGTCATGGAACGCACTTTTGCAGCGTGATAACAGTCGTAGCTCACGTGTACCGTTTAAAAATGCTTCTCTCGGCCCTCCAGGTTCCCATTCTTTGCCTGTACCCTCAGTGAATTGTACATGAAATGCTGTTTTTTTTTTTTTTTTGTTTTTTCACGACAGCCACCTGCCTGGCATCCCAACCTGCTAATAGAAACGTGTGTCGCAGGCTATGACGCAAATCCTCGCTGACAAAAATGTTGAAATTTAATATTTATTCGACACATTTTTACAGCATTGGAAAACGTTAATGTTTGTGTCATGTTTGTCCTCTTGTAGAAACCATATTAAAGCTAAAAAATATATTTTTCCATTTTCAAACGTTTTTGAAAAAGCTCCAGGAAGCCACTAGGGCGGCGCCAAAGAGCCGCATGCGACTCTGGAGCCGCGGGTTGCCGACCCCCGCCAAAGACACACACAAAAGTATCGAAAATTGATACTGTTGAAACTGGTATTCCTTCCCAGGTATCGGAACCCAACCAGGAGAGCCCTGCGGCTTGGGCTTACTTTCTGGCCATGAGTTGGCCATCCCCCAATATTTAAGAACTGACCCGGTCATTCTATCGGTGGTTATCCAGCGCAATCAAAAGTTCAAACCACGTGGCCCATTTCTTCCACTACAAGCGTGGAGTTAGCCATCAAGGTGCACCTACATCCCGAAAAAAAAATACACCATCCCTGAATTGGTTGGTCTTTTGTGTATTTTGGGCTTGAGTGTCTGTGCACCTGCACATGGCACACGAAGTAAGGCAGTGGTAAACTCGGGTGGCTCTGCTGCACCACGGCAATCTGCCAGTGGCTAGTAGCCGGCACAACATGTGCACTGGGGTTGGGGATGTCCGACTCGCCACAGCCGCACCCTGCACGCAGCATGACAGGCAAGCCCACACTACTGAGACACTTCAGGGAAAGTTCACTGTTTATTAGGTACGCTAGCCAGCAAGCTCACTACACTGGCGTCGTTGCCATCCAAATAATTCACTCCCCCTCTCGGTGTTGTGTCGCTTGTGTGTCCACATAACTGAGGCACTTCAGGGAAATTTAACTGTTGTACAGACACCGCAGAAGTCGGAAGGTGGCTGTGAACTACAACAGGCTCATATTGACAGCTGTA